ATAATTTATTGTTTTCTGAGGCAAGATTATATTTTATCCCTTATTTATCAAAGCAAGAATATTAGATCCCTTACATGCATCCTACTCAGGGTTACCAAGCTGTGCGTCCAGAACTTGACCTTGTTGAGCAGGAAGATCAACTAACACATGAAGTCTCTCTCTCAGATACAATAGATCCAGAAATTACTTTAGGTATGTCATGATCAATTTTATAGTAGAAGTATTAAAACGGATTGCCTTTGGAGGCTACTAGATATTTTGTTTCGTGGAGCAACTATATGGAATGTCGATTTTTATGTTTGCTTTGCGTGCTCATATATTTTCAAGCCGGATCCTAATTTCCTAGAGAACGAAAGAAAGTATGAAGAATTAAAGAAGGCAATACTTGGTGAAGAATCTGAGGAAGGAGATTCTGATGCGGAATCAGAGGATGAAGATGACAATGAAGATGAAGAGTCTGAAGAAGAAGATGAGGAGCAAATGCAAATAAAGGACGAAACAGAGACAAACTTAATCAACCTTCGGAGAACGATCTACTTTACTATTATGTCTAGCGTTGACTTTGAAGAAGCAGGGCATAAGCTGTTGAAAATCAAACTAGAGCCTGGTCAGGAGGTTGGTATCATGATCTCTTTCTTATATTTTGTGTTATTCTGCTACTGTTGAGTCTTGTCCTTCGCGAAACTGTGTGCATGCTTACATGTATTATGTCTTTCTTATATTTGCATGTGCTTTGAGTTTCGAAAGGTAGTGATGTCGCCTTTGATTTGTTAAACATTATATGAAAAGGGCTATAAGTTTAAAGGGAAAACGTAATTGAACATTAAAAAAGGTGTAGGAAAAACTTAGTTTCTGGATACAAAAAAAGAGTAGAAATAACCAAAACATGAGCTTTCGTTGAATCCGACTTCTCCTTGTATTTTTCATGGATAGCATAGAGGCATTATCATTCTATCATGCATACCATAAACCAAATTTCTGGTGTTCCGTTATACTGATGGTTGAGGAATAAAAGATGGACATGGAGATTCATGTAGCCCACAATGCAATTTCTAACATTGATAAATTGCGGGATTAATTAACGCATGTTTCATTTGTAACTATCATAGGAGGACACAAGATTCCCTTGACTCTATTTTCCCGAAGGACAATC